CTTTCAGGAACTAAGGCTGCTATTTTTTGTAAATAAAGCAGCTCTTTTTGCAGTCTCATCAGCCTTTCAATTTCCTTTGATTATATCAGTCTGTCCAGATTGGTGTGCTCTGCAATATATCACTGCCACTTCCTTCAGCCTATTGACTGCTTCCAGCAATCTCAAAATTTCTTTGCTATATTTTATAGGATTTCCTTGTTATGATAATAATCCTCTCTGCTTACAAATTGCACCAAGTGCATGTATTATTCCAAAGACATACTTTGAGTCAGTGTAGATATTGTCCCGCTTTCCTTCCAAAATCTTAAAGCTCAGGTTAATGCAATTAGTTCAGCCTTCTGAGCAGAAGTGCTCACTGGCAGCGATGTTGCCTCTATCTCTTCTTCCAGAATAACGACAGCACATCCAGCTTTCTGTTCCCCTTTGATGATGAAACTGCTTCTGTCGGTGAACAGTTCCTAATCAGGATCTCGTAAAGGGACATCTTTCAGGTCTGCATGGCTGGAGCATACCTCCTCAATAGTTTGTAAGCAGTCATGCGTCAATTCTTCTTTTTTGTGTAGGGGTAACACAGATGTTGGATTTAAGGCACTAGATACCTTCATTATTACATCTTCTTGTTGGAGCAGCATTGCTTGGTACTGTACCATTCTGCTCGGGGACAGCCCATGATGTCCATTCTGTTCTAACACTGCTGTAACAGCATGCACCACATCAGCAGTAATTTTCTGCCCCGAGGTCAGCTTTCGTGCATCCTGTACCAGCAATACAGCAGCTGCCACTGCCCTCAGGCATCCTGGCCAGATGCAACTTACTCTATCTAGTTGTTTTGAAAAGTAAGCTACCGACCAACTTCCCAAAGTCCACACAAGAATTCCCAGCGCCTGGTGTTCCTTTTCACACACATAGAGTTCAAAAGGCTTTGTCAGATTCGGAAGGCCTAAAGCCGGAGCACTCCTGAGAGCAATTTTTATTGCATCAAATCCTTTTCGACAATCTGGAGTCCATTCTAATAGCTCTCCTGGCCCCTTAACGGCTTCATACAGGGGTTTAGCCATTAATCCGAAATTAGGAATCCACAAGCGACACCATCCGGCCATTCCCAGAAATGCCCTAAATTCTCTGAGCTAGGAGGTGCAATTTGACATACTGCTGCTGCTTTTCTTTCGATTACCAACTTCCTCTCCCCCGGGATATCTCAAATCCTAAATAAGTCACAGTTGCCTGAACAACTTGCGCCTTTTTCCGTGACACTCTATATCCTGCTTGCCCCCAAAAGTTTAATAAGCTTATGGTTGATTTTTTGCATTCTTCAGCGACGTCTGCCCCTAGCAGTATGTCATCTATGTACTGTAACAAGGTAACATTAGCTTCCTTACCTTGCCACTGCTCTGGTTCTGTTGCAAATACGTTACCAAAAATCGTGTGGCTATTCTTGAATCCTTGGGGAAGCACTGTCCAGCATAACTGCATTTTCCATCCTGTCATGGGACTTTCCCATTCAAAAGCCAACAGCTTCTGACTTTGTACTATAGGAATGCAGAAGAAACCATCCTTCAAGTCCAGTACTGTAAAATAAACATTACAATCAATGATAGTAGTCAGTGAGGTATGGGGATTCGGTACCACTGGATGGACATCCACTACTATTTGGTTGATAGCTCTTAGATCTTGTACCAATCTATACCTGTGAATGTGGCTTTTTAATGGGTAGAATTGGAGTGTTATATTATGACTGGCATTCCCACAATAGTCTGTACTGGAGGAAGTTGTTTATGATAGGTTCCAATCCAACACAGGCTTCCAATTTTATAGGATACTGTTTTCATCTTACTGGCTTAGGTCTTGTCTTCAATTCTATGTTTACTGGTTCAGCTGATTTAGCTCACCTAGGTTTCTCAGTTGTTCATAAGAAGTGAGTTACAGCATCTTCTGTTTCTGCAACGGAGTTGACTTCCTTTTCTTTATCTTCTGCTGTTCCAGGTAGTGCCTGTAACACATATATCTGCGCTTCCCAGGCATATTTTGCAGAATATGGACTCTTATTTTATTTGCATCAAAAGTTATTTGTGCCCCTAATTTATTCAACAAGTCCCTTCCCATCAGAGGTAACGGGCATTCTGGCATGTATAAAAACTCATGTACAAACATCTTGTTACCAATTTTACACTCAATCGGTTGGAAAAAGGGGTCTAACCTCTCATTTTCCTGTTGCACAACAGCAGCCATGGAATATTTACTTATAGGTCCTTTACAACTATTTAGTATGGAATAAGTTGCTCCTGTGTCAACTAAGAACTTAACTACATCATTCCCCATTTTCATTTCAATGAGGGGTTCGGCTGGGGACTCTATCTTTTTGACCCCCAGTCCCTGTCAATCGGAGTCTTCATAAATTACTCCAATTAATTCCCCCGGTATAGTTATCACTACAGGAGTTGATTAGACTGTCTTTTTGGGCATTCATTCTTCCAATGTCCTTTTTCTCTACAAATAGCACACTGGTCTTTATCTAGGGGGGTCCTAATTTCCAGATTTCTTCTCATTCCTCGGCTCTTCTCTTGTCCTCATCCCCTTCTAAAACCTCAACATCTGGATGAGGTCTGAGCCTTTACAAAAGTAGCAGCCAGTATTGCTGCTTTTTTCTTTCTATCCTTTAATTTTTCCTTTTAATTTTCTTTTTTCTCAACCTCCTCTCTGTTATTATATACCTTATAGGCAATTTCAATTAGCTGGGATATTGTCATCCCAGACATTCCATCCACCTTCTGTAATTTCCTTCTTATATCAGGTGCTGATTGTCCTACAAAGAGCGTGGTAAAAGTAATTTTATTGGCTTCATCTTCAGGGTCTAAATCTGTCCATTTTCTGGCCATCTTGCATAATCGTTCATAAAAAGCAGATGGATCTTCTGTTTCACCTTGTACCACTTGATATAATTTAGCAAGGTTCTTTGGTCTAGACACCTCATTCTTTATTCCATACAAAATTAGCTGGTGATGTTGGTTATTAATCATCAACCTCCCTGTACTCAAATTCAGATTCCAATTAGGCTCCTGAATTGGCATAAGCCAGTCAGGGCCACCTCTGGCATTCTGCCATTCATTCTCCTCCCTTGCCTTTTCTATAACCATTCCTTTTTTCTTCTGGTGTAAACGGTACTTTTACATATACCGGCATACCATCTGCTTGGCGAAGGGGGGTCTGAACTACAGGATGCTGTTGTGCTTGAGTTCTACCTGCTATTGGACTTAAAGCTTCACTACCCCTTTCATTATCTCCTCCCCCACTAGTAACACTTTCCTTATCTGGAGCTACTAACATCTGGATATCCTCCTCCTCCTCTTCCAGTTTTAGGCACCTTTTCCCAATACTACAAGCAGAACAACACCTTGGTGCCTTCTTAATATCTTCCATCATCATCATTACATTTGAGTCAGAAGTTAACAAATTACATTTTTTCTGCATTTCATGATTGTTCCTTAACGAGAAGGACAGATCAACATATGGCACCTCATCCCATTTATCCAATCTTCTGCAAAACAACATTAATTGTAAAATTGTATTATAGTTCAATGATCCCTTTTCTGGCCCTTTTTCCCCATCATCCAATTTATATTTTGGCCAGCACTGAGTACAGTACTCTGTCAGCTTCTTTTTTGTTAGGGGATCCCCTCCAAACTTGCCCCAATGTTTTAAAATACAACCTAATGGGGAACAAGGAGTTTCTGCTGGCTGCTGGGCGCCCATATTTCTCTCCAGAAAGAACGTTCTCAACCAAGATTTCATGTACTCCAGTCATCACAGTCAAACGTATATGATTAGCTTTTCCTATACATGCAAATACTGTAATATCATATACTGCAGTTGTCACTGTCAAATGGATACGATATACCAATCAGACCAATTATACATCAAACTAGCAATATCTCTTTCAGTTGGTGTTGCACCATTGTGTCGCTTACCCGCTCCAGCTGGGGAGAATACTCTCGGAGTCCCCGATCAAAAGATCGGTGCACGCTGGAGTCCAAAGAGCAGCATCTCCCCACCAGTGGCTGGCAAGTCGATCCAGGCAAGGCGTCACAGCTGTCCCATCTGGGTCACCAAAAACTGTTGTCCTAAAATCAGATTCATTACCCGGTGTGCAATAGACCAATCTCACACACTTAGGGGAGACACTGCTTTTTATTCAGGCCTGGGTGCTCAGTGGATTCTCCACAAATTGAGCACACCCAATGCATCAGGTGTGCCTCTTTTACACAGTAACAATTACATACAATTCATTAAACTACTCCTACCTAGTACATATTCAGACTATCTAATGCATATGCATAAGATTACATAATCGTGACATACAAATGCTTTCTCCGCATGAGCGGTGGTCTCAGGTGGTCTTTGGTGATCGTCTGGGGAGGTATCCCCTCCTCACTTTGACCGCTAAGTCACTCTTGGCTAGGTCAGTGGTCCGTTCTCCTGCCAAGAGGGATGTATCTTCAATCGGGAAAGTATAAAAAAGTACAGGATAACTTCAGCTACTCCTCTAGGTATTATTAAAGTTGTTTGAAGTTGAAAATTATTAACTAACTTAATTTAAAACAGGATTTTCTATTCTAAACAAACAGGATCCTCTATTCCTAACATCACCATTGTCTAGTAGTTAGTTCCTAAACCCTCAATCATGTCTAGTTAGTGTTTCCCTATTTTAAATATTAACTGATGGGGGCTGTACACAGGACTTTAGCAGCTCCCTGATTATTTCAATCATATTATACATATTAATTGATAACAATTTGACACTTGGGAATGGTTCAAAGCTGCACTAGGGGAGGTTTAGACTGAACATTAGGAAACATTTCTTTACCAGGAGGGTGGACAAACCCTGGAATAGCTTCCCCGAAGAGGTGGTCGATGTCCCAAGCCTGTCAGTGTTTAAGAGGCATGTGGCCAATGCCCTTAATAACATGCTTTAGCTTTTAGTCAGCCCTGAAATGGTCAGGCAGTTGGACTAGATGATCGTTGTAGGTCCCTTCCAGCTGAAATATTCTACTCTATTCTAGGCACAGCCTCAGTTTGCTCACCCCCTAGGGACAAGTGGCACCCTCCCACGCACAGGGTGGGCAGCCAGGCACAAGGACTAGGGGTAGAAGGAGGGAGGGTAGGCAGCGTAGCTGGAGACTGTAGCAGACAAGGGAAGGGGGCTAAAAGGTTAAATACTCCTCAAAAGCAGGCCGATAGGAGCATAATCCCACCCAGTTTATGCTCCATTGCTTAAAGAGAACGAGATTACACAGCCTTAACCATCATTAACTGAACTCAGCAGTATCTGAAAGTCCTTCCAGCTTGTTTAAATTCCAGTTGAGTGAATCACTATAAAACAAAAGCTTCTGCTGCCTCCTCCCTCTCTTATCTTATTTACTCCTGACAGGAAAGCAGAGTTCAGGTTAAGGGCTGCCTTTATCAGGAACCTTTCACATGGAGACGTGCAGATATCCAATTTTCCGCTACCAGTGAGGCTGAAAAAAAGGCAATAAAACTGAAAAAGGTCACAGGTGAGCAGAGGCTTTTACCCATTTCTTTAGATCACAAGATGGGAGTGCTAACAGGTTTGCTGGACAGGAGGTTTATCACAAGACTTGTGTCTCCTTGGGAGCCGTTCTCACTAATGACAGAGGCAGTGACTTGGGGTAAGGGTGAGGAAGGGGTCTGGGAAAGCCGTGCTCTTGCTGGAGGGCAGCCGCCCCTCTACACACAAGCTCTTGGAGGTCTCTGTTGCTGTTGCCACCAGTCCCTCATGTTCCCCTCTGGCTCCCAGGTAGGTACCAAGTCGTACACAGGTCACACTGGAGCACCTGCCCCTTGATCCACACAGGGTGCTCTGCACACCCAGAGGACTCCCTCCCTTCTCTCCCTGCAAACCTTAGTCTCCTTAACCAGGAGAAAGCCTCTTTCTGAAATCTAGACCGAATGAAAAAGTTAATCTAGGCAACTTGATTCTGTTCTTTCCACTAGGCATCATGTATTCGAGTCATGTTTTCAGTGGAATAATTTATGGAGAACTCCCAAGATGCAACCCAACATTTAAATGGTTCCAGAAATCACTGAGAGGCTGAGTAAAAGGAGAGACACACTTAGAACGCCACTAATACCAGTCTTAAAACAAACGCTTTACTATTGGTCATTTTTATTTCAAGGACAGAACAGCCTTTCATCCCAGCTCCCTCCGTGAGTTTAGTGTGTAACTCAGGTAGCACAACAACAAGCAGTCACATCCTGTAGAGCATGAGCTCCAAAGCAAACCCCACTGAGACACCGGCTTTGGGTTTTCCTCCTCTTCATCCCTGGGTGAGAAGCAAGCCTGGCACAGAACAACCCGCACCTGTGCAGATGCTTCACTAGCAGTAATTATGCAAATAAATAAAGAGTAGTCAGTACCTTGTGGAGAGGACGGTGACCACAGATCATCTAGAAATTAAGTTATTGCTATGTTCTTACTTACTGGACACTGCAGGTAACTAACCTGGTAACCACCAAGAGAGGCAACAGTCTCAGATTGCCCTTGTGTTATCAGTTGATGTTGGACAGAAAGGTGTGGGAGGACAAGACACATCTTGTTTAATCTGCTCTCTGCCTTAAGGGCAGGAGTTTTCTCAGTGGGACTGAATCTTTGTCATTTTGATGGAAATAGGTGGGGGAAGGGGATATCATGGGCAGGCTCCCAAAACGCTTGGAAATTGATCATGCCTGCCAGACTTTACCAAGGAGTTCCAATATGCTGCTAAGAGTACATATACATACGGCTAAGTGTACTCACTGCTCCTGACTTGCAACAGGAGCTACTGAGCCACCTTCACGTGGTAAGGAACTGCAGGTTCAAATTTCAAAGACAGCAGGAGCCCAGTGTCACCCGGAGCTGAGCCAGAGCTGCTGATTTGTCAAGGAAAATCAGGGCAAATTAGAGCTGTACGACAGGGGCATGGGGAAGTATGGGTCCTGCCACACACCAACGAGGTTAACCTGACACTTGATTCTACTTCCCTCTGCTGGTGGGACATGCTGTGATGGCCAGTGTCCCAGTATCAAGTCAAGCCAGCTAAAACAAGGCATAACATGAAGTCTAATACATATGAGACCACTCGTCACCAAAGATTATCAGGTAGCCCAAGGTTGATTACAAGTGATGAGTTCACAGCAGTGTCAGTGCCCCCAGCATCCCTCCCCACAAGGAGTATTGGCTGGAGAGCATGAGTTTGAGAGGATGAGGAGAACTGCAAGAAGAACCTCAGACTGATGGAAAAGCAGAGGAGTCCTTCACAGGACAGCCAGAGATGCCTTTGTTAGGCATCATGCAGCTGGTTCTCTTTCAGGAGAATCTTCTCCCCAGGCTTGAAGGCAGGCATCCCCAGGTAAGGACAGCTGGCACAGCGGAATGCATCCCCCAGATAGCACTGGCAAAAGAAAGAAAAGCACCTTCAGTAATCAGGGCAACTTTCAGTTCTCTCCTCCTTTGATATGGTTTTTCCATCTTAAGAAATGACACTCCTCAGTGTGTAATGGCACAGAAACCAGTTCCCTTCTACCCCCTTCTCAACACACATCTGGTTAGCACGGTTAGCAGAGCTGTGCAGGGCACTGTCCTCACATGGAACAAGGAAGTTTCCATCCCAGCGGGTGTGCCCAGGCATGGCTGCATGCTGGGCTTCGGCAGCCCCCTAACCACCGCCAGGTCCCCTGGGGTCCCATAAGGTGATCCTCCCTGAGCAGATCACTGGATAGCACATGAGCAGGGAGGTAAAGGTTCACTCTTCACTTTGACTCCTACAAGGGCAGCACTTGTGCTGGAACAGACAGCACGCACTGGTACAGAGCATGTGGGCACAGGGCAACAGGCTGAAGCTCTGCAGAAGCTGCTGCACAAGCAGTGTTTGGAAGCAGTAAACCAGCTTAGAGAGCAGTCACTAGAGAACACAGTTCTTGGATACAGATCATGTACTGCAAACCACAGTATAGAAACAAAAATCACTATTTACATTTCCACAGGCAGATTTGGGCTGCGAGCTCTTCTTCTCCTGTTCCAGCTCTTCAGCCAGGCCACATGTGCTGTAGAAAAATAAAGAAGTCACCTGCATCTTTCTGCTTAAAGGTTGTGAGTCACCAACGCTCGTTCCAGCCCTACTCACACGCAATGGCCCTTGCCCTGTCACACTACACGGCCGACTCTGGGACTTTCACACTCTTCACTTTGCTCTTCAACACCATGGTTTGTATAACAAGTGTTGAAACACACTCCTCGAGTTTAAACTGAGTGGGCAATTGCTCTACAGCACTTGTTATGTGTGCTATTTCTCCTTGAAATCTGAGAAACCAGGGTTTTAGCCAAGGCTGCACAAACTGTGTCTCCACCTTCAAAATAACTGTTGATCATATCAGTGTGGTAATTTGTAGCAGTTTTGGTATGGCTAGTCAATTCTCATTGTATTTGGATTTACATTCAAATAGTTAAGATAAAAAAGGACATGAACAAAGAGAATTACACTCTGAACAACAGCAAGGTGTCTACGATCTTTTTAAAATCCATCCAACTCTAAGGGTTTAATGTTACAGTTAAAAGGTTCAGCAATAGGCTAATCCCAGCACTGACCAGTTCTTGCAGGCTTTCTTTTTGCCCATTTCTTTGCAGGATGGAGCTCTAAGGGATGATGGATCTGGCTTTTTCAAATCCTCTGAATCCAACAGCTCATCAGAGTCCAGAAGATCCTGAAAACATACCACAGAAGATAACATGCAGAAAACTGATTTGTCAGTAGGGAATGACATTGCTGTGTTGTGTTCAAAGAAATGGTGCTATCTGTAGCACTAGCACTAAAGCGCTGCAGCTGTGCCCTCTTATCTGTGTCTCCTTTCCACCCTCACCACATCTCTGGGCTCTCATAGTAGATGAAAGTAGACCTCACATAGCAGATGAGATATTTTGCCCTGGGGATGCTTCTCTACCTCTTAATTTGTAAGGTTTCCCAAGAGGCATGACTGAAACTATTTAGAACAGGAAAGAAGAGAGAGAAGGAACAGCAAAGCCTCACAAACAAAATCAGATACCATCTCTTCATCATTCATATCATTGGCAGAGAGCGTCCACAGCTTGGCAGTGGCTGGGTCCACGGAGGGTTTTCCTGGAGCCAAAACAAAGGAAGAAATAGTAGTTAATCCAGCCTTTGCCCCATCTACTCCCAACAGAGTTCAAACAACTTTGGAAAGCCCCACTTGACAGGTTTTTACTGTAGCACTCCCTACCCCAGAACTGTCTCTCTATTCCAAGGGATGCTTGTCACCCAAGAGGCAGGCAATCCAGACATTTAGCACGCACCACTCCTTACCTGAAGGACCAGGTTTCTTGGCAAAGGAAAGTTTGAGCTGACTTGAGGAACCCACTTCGAAATTGGGCTTCCTGCCTTCTATCTGAACAATGAGAAGGTCATTGCCTTGGTAACCCAAATGCTCTTGGACCGACTGGGCCTCCTCTGGGGTCAACGCTTCCTTTTGCAGCTGCAACGTAAAATTTTAGGTTAACCTCATGCAGAACCCCTTATTTCAGCACCCAGTTCAGCATTCCATTGAACACAGACAACCGGTATTTTCAACCCTTAGGAAAAACAGTACCTTTGCAGTAACTACAGTTTGTGGCAGGCAGTGTCCCTACACATTTACAGTAAACCAGGGTAGTTAGACACCTTGTCACCCAGCACGTCCCCAGGAATCACCATCTACATTTCAAGGTAACTGCAAGAGGGAGTTCCTGGAAGTGGTGAGTACAACATACCTCCTTCACTTCCACCAACCCAGAGAGAGTCAGAGCTGTGGGGAGTTTGGCTGCTGTCTTGATTCTGCTGTTGTTTCCTGGAAGACACAAAAGCAGGAAGTAGGAGGAGGGAAGAACAAGAATAGAGGTCACTGAGAAACCTGGAAGAGCAAGAGCTTTAGAAGGACATACTCAAGCCAAACCTCTGCTTTAAAATTGTCTCTTTCTAATTGACAGCAGGAAGAAAGCAGAAAGAGCATAAGCAGCTTGTCATTAAAGTAACAGCCTGGGATCACAAAGCTGTTCTAGCTCCAGATCTGTTCTATATATGCCAAAAACCTTCCTCAACCCAATTAACACCCAACAAAAAAAAAAAGGGGGGGGGGGGGGGAACCAACCCAAAAAACAAAACCCCCTGTTATGGTTTTGGCTGGGATAGAGTTAATTTTCTTCCTAGTAGCTGGTATAGTGTTATGTTTTGGATTTAGTATGAGAAGAATGTTGATAACACACTGATGTTTTCAGTTGTTGCTATGTAGTGTTTACACTAAGTCAAGGATTTTTCAGCTTCTCATGCCCAGCCAGCAAGAAGGCTGGAGGGGCACAAGAGGTTGGGAGAGGACACAGCCAGGGCAGCTGACCCAAACTGGCCAAAGGGATATTCCATACCATATGACATCATGCCCAGTATATAAACTGGGGGGAGTTGGCCAGCACCGGAGGTGGGGCAGGGGGAGCGGTGCAGATCGCTGCTTGGGAACTAACTGGGCATTGGTCAGCAAGCGGTGAGCAACTGCATTGTGCATCATTTGTTTTGTCTATTCTAATTATTATTATTATTATTATAGTAGTAGTAGTATCATTATCTTCTTCCTTTCTGTCCTATTAAACTGTCTTTATCTCAACGCACAAGTTTTACTTTTTTCCAATTCTCTCCCCCATCCCACTGGGTGGGGGGAGTGAGCGAGCAGCTGCGTGGTGCTTAGTTGCCGGCTGGGGTTAAACCATGACATCCCCCAAAATATTTTCACATACTAAAATGAACAACTCGTGAAGTTTTCAAAACATGGACTCCTAAATGAACATTACATTCAGAAACAAGACATTCAACATTGTTCTTGTAGGCAAAAGCTATTACAATCACTGTTTAATCAAAAACTCATCACAGGCTTCTTTGCTTGGGCGCAGGATTCTGCTGAACAGAATTCATTCACCCTCTCACTAGTCCCACTTGCACTTTATTCCAAGTCCACTCAGCCTGTCAGATGTGACTCTGGAAAAAAGAAACCTCATCTACTCCAGACTTTGCATGTTCTTTGTTCTGTCCCAGAAGCGTTCCCCCTACCCCTATGGTACCACTTGCACCACAGAGCCACTGCCAGCTTCGAAACACTGGCAAATCTTCCCAACCTGAAGAAGCCGTTTCTGCTGCCACTTACACCACCATTTTTAGTACTGTAGATTGTGCCAACAGAAACACCATCAGCATAGATGCTTCTGTTCTTATCAGGTGGCATATTATTTCCCACTTCCATCCTGAACCAGCTCCTTATGCCAGCAAGGTTTGAATGCAGGTCAAGCAGAAAGAGAAACAATCTTGTGTTCACCTCCTTGTGTGCTCCTCCAGCTGTCCCATGACAGGTGCTAAGGCTTTACTCTTAAAACTTAGTCCAAACACTTCCACCTTTTCTGGATAACTATTTCTCAGCTAGCTTCTGGGACAGCCTCTCTCAGCATTTGTCATTTTTAAAATCACTTCAGAAGCTCCTCAGAAACACAACATCTGCAACTATTTAACATTACACACTCTAGAAGAAGGCCAGTGACCGCTGAGGTTTTCAACATAGTTCAGGAACAAGCCTATCCAGCACTTTTGATAGGAGAGTGACTGCAAACATCTCTGATGGCTACCAGCTTAAACACAGGATAAAAACCTTGCTATTCAGGTTAGTGTGTCAGGAGAATTAAAATCTCTGAATGTCAGTCAGGGTTCCTGTGCTTTCCATTTCAGCCTAATCCTCACAAGAATTACTATGTTGCCATGAAAGCAAGGCTGATGAGGATTCTCTCACCTGATTCTGTAACCACTGGTTCTTTCAGGAGGACACGGCCCCCCGGCTTAAGTATCCGAGCTATTTCTGCCAGTACCTCCGCACTGTGCTGTGCTGTACTGCCTGGTACCACACCAGAGAGAACTACATCAAAACTGGACTCCCTGTGAGCTGCTGAAAAGAAAGAAAGAGGAAGATGGTACAATTTTACACAAGTGCACACAGAGCTTCGCATCAGTTCCACCTCTCTCATGCTTGCGTACAACAGTAATAACTGATTAAAGCACAACTAGGGTATGTCACTTTCTTTGCTGTACTGTCAGTGGTAAGAGTTAGCAGTAGGTGCTATTGTTGTTCTGAACACTGACTTACAAACCAGGGAAGATGACAGCTCACACCCTCTCCCTTTAAACAAAACAGTGAAAAAATTAAGCTCATTCTTACACTGAGACAGCTGGTTAACGTTTTCCACAGACACACGATTATTGGCTCCCACCAGTGCCTGAATTTTGTCCACCAAATCCTTCAGGGCTTCAACCGGCGAGGAGCTGTCCCAGATGATGGCCACACGCTGGCCTGGTGCCACTCCGTACTCCCCCATTCCCACAGCAGCAGCAAACCTGACAGCGGCAGAGAAGGGAACCGGTCAGGGGGGAGACAGACAGGAAGGGTAAGTGCCAAGCGCAGCATGAACCTCTGTGGACTGTGACTTAATCACAGATCATTGACTTGTTTTAATAAATGGCGGTTATTTTCTGGAGACATGCAGCATAGAATTCCCACAAGCTGAGCGTTAACATGACATTAAGAAATAACTACACTTAAGGGCATAACTCAGTTTGTCTCCAGTTCAGAGACTAGTTCTGCAGGGAGACTGCAAGCCATAGTTAAAAAACTTACCTGCTTTCCTTAAAGATTTGAATTGAGACGTACAGAGGATTTCTAGACTTCCAGACTAGCGATGACTATTTGACATTAAACACTGCCTTGTCTCTCCTACTCAGGACATGACCTAGTGGAGTTTGCTTCTGCAGTACATGAGAAGTAACTTTCGGCATTCCCAGCATTCGAGATTGACTCTCTTTTGACTCTTATCATTGGTGGCGCTGGGTGAGCAATTACACAGAGGGAGGAGGGGAACAGAATATGGGGTGAAGTGACAGTTTTGAGAAACCTGTCTGCACTAGTATTTTATAAAAGATTGTACTCCTGACAGAGTCTGAAGAAAATCTGCACTACAGAAGTGTCACAATAGTATCATACCATCACCTGTACTCATAGCAGCACTGGCTGCTGAAACAAATTACCTAGCTTCTTTCACTCTACTCATCCAATGCAAACCTATCTTCTTTCTAATTTAACACAACCACTGAGAACAGAGAGCACTGGTGAGCACACTAGTTGCCCAGTGTTGCCTTCAATTAGCTGCAAGCCACACACTTGCTTCAGGAGAGCCTGTTGTAAGCAAGGTCTACCAGAAATCATTACGTTATGTGTCCTGGGTAATGTCTTATTTCTACCATGTTGTCATGAAAGCATAGCTTACAGATAAGCTGTACCAAATTTAATTCGGTTGCCTGCAGTCAGCTGTGGAGTGGGTTTTGACCCCCTGTTCCTCTGGCTCTAAGTACCATGAACCGCTCTCTCCTGGAAACTGCAAACAAATTCAGAACAGGACAACTCTGCACCTTGTCAGAGCTGCTCTGGTAGGAATTTGCGCTAATGCAGCCCACAATGCTGACCAGGTAAGGAGCGGAAGATCTCGGAGCTGTACGCAACAGGTTATAGCACCTCACAGTTGGCTCTGCATACATATGCAACGCAAGCCAGGCAACTACAAGAGACAGTAACACTAGTAGACACACATATTAATCTCATTAAAAAGTCACCTTTCTGAAGAAGAAGGCTGAAAACCTGAAAAGATACATAAGTTGTTGGGCTAATGTAGAAAAAAAAAAATCACAAAAATCACACCTTCCTCTCAGACCAGCAGGTTGTGACCTTTCAAGATCAGTCAGAGCCCAAAATACATCAACAGCGACACCAGCCTGAATCAATCGATGCAGCCTAAAGAAAGTAGGAAGCTACCGATGTCCTCAAAGACAGGACATTATGTCTGCCTCCAGTCAGTGTAAAGCCTAGGAGTTAGTTACCATTAAAGCATGCTCAGTCATGTTCTTGATGGGACGACGGGGGAGGATATTGTTCCCCTCTTACGTGGGATATATTTAAAACGGGAAGGTTTTATGTCTTCCTTTTAAGTATCTCCAGCTTTAGACTACAATGACCTAGACTGGCTCAAGCACCTGAGCGCTCGGCCAGCCAGGGCTCGGTGAAGAGAGCGAACAGGCACTCTCCTCTGCCACACGGAGGAGGACTCCTTGCGGCCGGGATCAGGCTGCATTCTGCCGCGCCAGGGAGGAGGCCCGAGGCCTGGATCCGGGGCAGATACTGGGCTGGGGTGGGGAGGGGGCCTTATCGTAATTTCGCACACATTTAACAGTCCTTGAGGAACGCGACTGCCCACAACCGGGCAAGAAAGGGACTTTGAACAATACTGGAGGTTTGCAGCTTCAAGAGGTTAAAAAGCTACCGCATATAGCACGTCAAAACTTTAAATTAAAGCCTTCTGAGCACTCCGTACCTTGTGATGCACAGCAGGCAGCTTCCAGCGGCCCAGGATGCAATCCAAGGCTGCAGGCAACAACCACACTGCCCCTACAGCAGGTGAGTGTTTTAAATACATCCCCTCATACAGAAAGGGCAGAATAAACCTCTAAATCACAGAGCCGGGAAGGGTTCAGAGGGACGAGGAACTAGATACGTGAAGGAATTTCACACAGCAATTCCCCACTCCCCGCGGCGGCCGCCTCAGGCAAGGCCTCGGGACAATCTTTGGAAGGGAAAAGAGGGGAGTATCGGCCAAGGCGGGAGACGCCCCCCGCCTCCCCCCTGCCCGAGAGGAGAG